GTTACAGCTTAATTACAGTATATTTTCATATTATTATAAGTTATTTATTTATATATCAACTACATACTACCGACGTTTCGGTTTCTTCGCAGCAACTATGGTTACGGGTAGATGAGGTGAGAATTACTGAGATCTCATTAGCTTCATACATTCTTTAACAATTCTACGATTACAAGTCAAATTGATATTTCCTAAAGCTAGTTTAAGTTTCTGGTCGAATTTTGAAAATATGCTGAATGATTAACGAAATTGTTCTTGAAGTGCCTTCTCTTACTATTTTTAGTACGATATTTGGATTTCAGAATTTTCATTAAGATATGACTATATGGACTTTAGAATTTTGAGTAATATATTTAGACTCGAGCCTGAGAAAAAGTTTTAAAGGATCAGGCAGATGGATTAAGGGTTCATACAAGGGCTCAGTTTACGCCGATTAAGATACGTAGAAAAGAATAGATTAAAAAAGAATAATTGAATTCGTAGTATAAATAGTATGTAATTTCCATTTATTAACCAATATTCAACACAATGGCCAAATACAAAATAGTTAAACGATTTTAATCTCGTATACTAACTCATTAAAAATATACTGGCGTGAAATTAAAATATACCTTTTCCACAATCCAAGATGTAGACATACTCTTAAAAGGTGATAAACTTTCATGTAGTTTCGAATGACTACTAATCTATTTTCAGTACGAATTGAAAAAAATCAAATAATATTTGAGAGTTGCTATTGCATCCCATCAATAGAATTCTATGACAAAGGTTAAGCAATTTTATGATTAACGCTATTAAATATGGAGTTAAATTTGGAAGCAGGAAGTGGTTAGACTCATATGTAACGTAATCATATGTATGAATAGCGGCTTACCATCCACTGTACAGACATGTAGTAATACAGATGTTACTCAAATTAATCAAACGTAGCGGATCACTATGATAAATTGTGTGTATGAAAGTGTGAGAGGACGTAGTAACAAAATTTAGAGTTAATGAACTCTCTGGCAGCGAACACGAACCACTATTAATAGATTAGTAGGTCTATTTGGACCGGTCGCAAAATAAGTAGTTAAGAGTCAAGTTGTTTTTATAACAAACATTGGAGGAAGCTTCTTTTTCCTGAGAGTTGTTAATTACTTCAAATGAGTGACTAAATAAAGGCATCGTTGATCGTGAGATCTTATCAACTTGCTCGGAATCTAATTTTTGTCATCTATTTTTTTGTAAGTGTCAGGGATTAAAAATATTAAATCCGTTTTGTGATGGTCTTCCATGGATAGTAACAGAATAACTGTAGATAAACTGCAGAATTGAATTGTAATAGTTTTTGACAGAAATTTTATGAGAAATGATTATTTGATTTAAAGGAGTTTAGAGGTATGCTTATCAAAAAATATTAAATATTGCTGAGTGGAGATATGGCTGGTATAAATATTATATACCGCAAAATTATAATCGGTAAATAAGTGTTAAACGTTATCTTACATAAGAATAAGCTAAGCTGTATAACATAAAATACCTACGATGAAGAGACTAATTAATTAAATTGTTAAATCGTACGTAGCTGTACGTACATGTTTACATTGTATATTTCACATATTTAAAAAAGATTATCACCCGATAACAGGTAGAAGACGTGCGTTATATTTAGGTCAGTCGAGTTAATTTTAGATTTTACTAGAGAATCTTCCGAATTAATCGCTGCTTTTTGTTGAACATGTAAACAAGATAATGATTTAACATAATCAGGGTTTGCTGTAGTAGATATCGTGAACCAGAAACATCTGACTGAGCTTAATCTATAATGGCTTCTGTAATTCTGTAAATATTTGAGATATTAAACGAAATTACTTCTATAAATATGTTTTACGATTTTGTTTTTTTTTTTCATACAAAAGTATTTAATTTTTTTTTTTGCATACGATATATAATTTATATTAGAAAAAAACGTTTTTTCATACATTTAGGCACAAAAATGGATTATATATTAACATTAATACTACTATTATTAGCAATATTAATATCATGGAAGTTCTTCATTTGTTTGAAGCTTGAATATAATGTGTTTAATATAAAAACTTTATAAAACTGCAGCCAGCCGTTAAAATCAGAGCATCCAAAGCGTTTCGATAATAAACACCAGTGAACCGGAAGTTCATCTTAAAAGATAACCTAGATTATGTTAGTTTTAATCTTCTTATACTTCAATAATATTTAAGTATATTTTTATTCCATGGACGTTTATTCAAGCGTTGATTTGTTTTTAATAAAAATAGCGTGATTTATTAATTTACTCCATTAAACAAACTTCATCGTTTAAAGATATTTTCAGTGACGATGTACCAGAGTTATGATAAAAATGGGCTAAGTTTTTAGATGGTGATGTTCATATAGAAAAATCTTTTATTTGGTTTATCAATGACCCATCGTCGTAGATGGAAAATATAGTATTTACATATCTCTATATGATAAAACAGACGACACAACAAAGTGATTTAGCACTGAAATACTAAATGTAAAGTCTCAGTATATTTAGTCCGATGCTATGTACGTGCTAAGTGGTAACTGTAAAGTGTTGCCAGTTGCCGCTATTAGCTGTTTTCTTGGAAGTGGGACGTGTCCCCCCTCTTCGTCTTCTCCATCTAAGACCAGCGATCCGCTGTTCCGGAACATCAATACATGCTAAAATAAATACAGAAATAAGAGACCATTTATCGTGATATTAACTACGTTCAACGAAGACCGTCAAACAGAAGGTCATTAGTTTTTGGTTAGTTAGAATTTTTATGACTAATTTAGGGTGAGCCGTGAGCGTCAAGTATGATAGTACTTATGACTTAAATTTTTGTACTGTATTGTTTTTCATTTATATAATACTTTTGACTTTTTATATTAGTAAAATTTTTTAGGACATAGTATTATTCAAATATAATATTGACTTGTTACATTGTCTTTTTAGGGTATACAATGGGAACACAAAATCTTAAGTCCAGGATTTATGTCATAGTTATAAAATTGACGCCATCTTGGTGGTTGTTGTGGTTCGTGTGAACCGGTTGTTTGCAACTCCGCTACAAGAATAAAATACACACTTTGTTGGCGCTAATTTAACGTGATGCTTCATATAAATATACACCGTCTAACTTTGAAGCGACATTAAAATTATTCTTCCAATTTTTATATTTAATATAATGTTTTGGTTTTAAAATAGAATCTTGCTGTGACGACGTGTTCTCGTAAGTTCTAGAAGTTAATTACCTTAAAATAAATTTTATTTGTATGTAAATACGGCATCTTCTAGCTGTACTCACTCTACGTAAAGTGTACTTTCTATTTACATGGCTATTTATATTTCCCATCCGCCATCCGGCGTATGAGTTGTGACCAGCCCTTCGGCTTTGTTATACATATTATTAAATTGAAATATTAATTATTTGAAAATTTTAATACGGAAATGTTATTTATTCTTTAGAGAAAAAACCTCTAGATTAGTATAACATATACAATAGTCAAGGAACCAAAACCATTAGCGATGTGAAATTAAGAAAAAGATAGATAGATAGATAGCCAATAGATAGATTCTATATCAAAATTCGCTTATATTACATTTTTTCTATAACGCCCTAAAAAGTGCATATAATATGTAATGTCTAGGATAAATAAATGAAAATAATACGACGTCTCTTAAAAATTAAACTTCTCACACAAATTTCAAGTTAAAAGCGTAAATAAACAATATGATCTTAGTTAGGAAGATAAAAAATATATAATCATCATATTAGCAGCAGGTAGAAATTGAGCCCTAGTAACACCATACAAATCCATTTCAACTGGCACGGTAGACAGCCGTCTATTATAAATGTGTCTATATAAATAAACGCTTTATTTGACTGAACCATTTCAAACTTTTAACCTATTTTGAGGTCACCGTTGCGTTGGTTTAACGATTTAACATTATATTTATAGACATACTTTCGAAATGATACACGTGCATCAAAACAACGCTATTTATATATATATTTTGTTTTTATTTTATTTATTATATATTTTATTATAATATGAATATTAAATGTATGAATTATGTAATAAAATTCGTTTTGTTTGTGATCATTCCCGAAATAGAGTTGGTCTTTTTTGATTCGACTTATTCTATTTTGTTTATTTTCTTTAAGACCTATTTTAGTATTTAAATGTAATTTAAGATGTACGGAAAAGTAAAATGAGTATAACTAATTATAATAAATGTTTGTATTCAAAATTACAATTACATGTAGAGCTTCGATGGATACTTACACATTGAGTTTTTAAGGACTCAAAAATAAAACCGGTTAAGATATGCATACGCTTAATGAGGGCTTAAAAATCCTGAACCGAATTGAAAGAAGGTTTTGCAAAACACTTTCTGGGAAGGTCTTGAATATTATTTGTTCATATACCTATATTTTTACTCCATTGTCAATTTTCTAATGTTCTCGATGCTCATTTGACTTATGTTCTGTAGAAAATATGTGTGACATTTATTTGTTTGCAAGGGTAAATAAAAAATAAACAGACTTTTAATATGTTCACCAGTCTGCGGAGTTAATAAAAAAACATTGAATACAGAAATGAACCCGTCGGCTGCAACTTGCAGCGAACGTTTTGAGTGGCGTGTTACATGAAACAGACAAACTTTAAATTATAATTTTGATAATACATATTTCTCAGTCTTTAAACAAGCAATTATTATATAAAATATTAAAGTAAAACTACCTTGTAATGTTCTTTAACGTTCAAATTCTAAGCTTCTCAATGACAAACCGTTTCACGTATTATATAACATTTTAATTATCTACAACTGAATGGACAAATAAACTTTCATTTTTTTTAAACGTTGGCATTAACGAGTCTGTTAAATCAATACAACAATAAATCCTTCGGACGACGCTAGAATTGAAATCGAATGGGGGTTTTATACCTGAGTCTAAATGTTTGTATGAAAGAGTGTGGTAGGTTTCATGTATAGAGATGCGCAAGCGTTGATCCCTATCCCTGTGCAGTCGGGTTTCCTGGATGGAAGGCGGCGGTTCGGGGGGCGCGGGCGGAGAGTGGTGCGGGCTGCGGGGGCCGGGGGGCGGTCAAGGCCGCAGCGCACGCGGCTATGGCGGCGAAACGTTCAGTTCAGTTTGCCCCCAACCATCGACCCTGCCGGACGTGGCAAAAGTGACGGTGTGAGTGCTTTCTTGCTTACTAAACAGTTAGCCGTAGGTCGACGACCGCGCGAGCATGAACGCGCGCCCGCCGATTGCCCTTGCACAGATTTGACCGAAACCCACTAGGTGAGTTGCCAGATCCTCGATATGACTCTTGTAACATACAATAAACAGTATCCTGTATCCCATTCATATACTCTTTTGGCCCGAACCAATAGATCGTCATGTTTATTGTTGACGGTCTTGGAAAGCTCAAGGTAATGCAAGCTCATTAAGTGTATTTTCTTGTCACTTAGTAAATATATCAGCTTAGCGCATTTTGTATATATATTCATTTATTAAAATATAATTAAGACAATTTTAATATTCACTAAAACTTTGGATAAGCTCTTGTTTATATTCCTCAAACGAAAATTGAAAGCTTTGGTAGGTAATTTTTTTTAGGTTTTTGTATTGGACTTGTACACTTAACAGTGACAGAGAATGCTGGTATCATAAGTGGTGATGTAAGAGATGGTATAATGAAAGCGGTGGGCGAAGGCTTAAGATGAGAGGCTGTGGCATTGTGAGATGAGCGACGCTTCATTGTTCCTACTCACAGAAACATAGCGGATGGACTTAAAATACAAAGGCAAGAAATAAATACAAGTGGAATTATTTTATAAAATTCAAACATAAAATGCAAAAATAAATGAACTTCAGATGACCGAATTTATAAATAGAGAACGGTACCAAAGCGTTTTAAATTGAATTGAATTGATAAATTGCTTCTTACAAGTAGTTACATGAAATGAAATCACACCGGTCACTAATAAACAAAATGATGCTGGTATTGTTCACGTTTATGGACATGAAGCAGAAGCATAATTTTATATATATTTTTAAAAACTAAGCATCATTCAAACGGTGAACATTAGCGAAACAAATCATAACAGTAGTTTCTGTTTTCGTATGCGATCCAACTGTTGATTGAATTGTCCGTCGCCATCAGTTATGAAATAATTAAGCCCGGTGCGAAACGCCTATCAAGAGAATTATCTCTCGTCGTGCGATTACAACGCGACTGTCTCAGTTATTAGGTCGACAACAATCTCCACTACACCACGCACCGTGTATCGTCGTCCTCACACAGTCACGAGACAATTCCTCCAGAGAAAACAATCGACCGGTTAACATTTTACGAGCACACGATTATACGAAATGAAATCATTTCTAATTCATCGTCATGATACATTGGGACTGACTCGTTGAGTGGATTTAAAAGTACCCACATCGTGTATCATGAACTGATAGCGTGTGGCATAATTATATCATTTGCATATAAATGGTGAAGTATATAGGCGGGTATCCGTATGTTTCAGTGTCGAGTGACGCGCGACGCTCAGCCTACCCTCCGCCTAATAATAATGCAGTTGTATGCCCAGTCAGCTCTATGGTAACGCATGTTATTTTAGTAAAGAAACAAGAAAATGAAAACATTTATTACGGTATTTATTTATCATGATGTGGTTATGACAATAGAGTACACTAAAATAATAAACCAGCAATATTCCGTGCTCTCGACTGCCAATAAAATTGTAATGAGTATGAAATCAGTATTTACTACGTTCTGTAATACGAGAGTGGAACAAATATGTATTATATTGTTCGGTTCTGCGGACCGAATGTCGTTAAAAATAATAATTATTAATGGAACAAAACCGTGACAATAGGTATTTTAAAATGCGTTTTACTCATGTAAATATTTTATCTAAAGAAATAAACAACATGAATCTTTACGACACATAATAATAGGGCACAAATAGCCAAATTGTTATTAAAAACGCAAAAAAAACTTTTGAAAACTGGTTTATTCATAATTAAAATATGACCTTATACATTTTATCGTTGTAACAATTCGTTATAATTAATGGGCTAATTATATATTTTTTTATGAATATATTATTATATTTTTATTATTCAAAGATTTATTCTAGAAACATTGACTATTATGTATTATTGATATACACGAGTATAGGATCGTAACACGTTTTTCTACCTGAATATTCACTACTGTTCTTCTGGATTAACAACATTAACACTTATTCCTTCGTTAAATTGCAACAGCTCTATTTAATGGTATGATTAGATACATTTTAATCTATTCTATATATTTTAATTGAACAGTTAAAAGTTAAGTCGATTTCTTATTTGTATATTTAGTGTGATATATAACAATGATCATCAATTATTCGTTTTGTTTGTTCATCTCTTGGGACTGTAGCTACGTCTGCTTGTGTCGTATTTGAATATAAACGTGTCATTTATTTTATTTTGCAATAAAAATGTATCAAGAAGATTGTTTTAAGTAGAAAAAGCTTTTTTATGGAGAAATTTTGAAACAATTCAAGTCTTAAGACGATTTTTACAACCTTAATATCTACGTATATATATCTATATGTTTAAACCAAATAGTTTTTTTTAAGATTCTTCAATAGCTAGCTGCCAGCGTGTTCATTGTTTTGTCCCTTCACGTTCGGACCTTCATAGATCGTCAGCGATTGTAGTATCACCGGTCTACCAGCAATAGGGTTAAGAACTGCAGATCATCTTAAATACCATTTTAATTCAATATATTCTTATACTTTATTTTTATAATAATATTTAATAAACGCAAAGCAGATTAATTTTTTTTATACTTAAGTTTGTAACGAAATGCATACGTTTTTGATAGTATTGAATCAGAACAAAAATTTTTTTATGTATAAAACAATTGTAATTAAAATAATTCTGAATTGAAGAATACCGTTATTTATTTTTAAAAAACTATCAAGTGACAGCCCTGGTATGCTCTACATCTAGCATCGAGTTTCAGTTATTAATTACAAGTAACAGTCCACTGGTGAGTCACAAATGGGAACAACATTATATTGAATATACAATTGACATAGAATTTGTTGTAAAAGGCCTGTTCGATCACGTTTAATACGGCCCAAAATCTTTTCAATGGTAGATAAATTTCCTATTGTAATACGCGTCATGAATTAAATGAGACGAGAGATGTTTAATGTTTTGAATCAGACCTCATCTAAGCTTTCTTAACGTCTGTAGTTACCCAGCTATATAACTAATACAATATCATTGTCTTTATAATATACTTTCACGCTGTATACATCTCGAAGACGAGTGGATCTTGGCAACCGTTTCACATTCGACAACTTTGTTAGCTAAATTGAGATGATTGATTTATAAACCTTATAAAACATCTCAAATAAACAAGTCGGTTAAATTTGTTCCTCTTAAATCACTGAACAATACTTATACCTCTTACAACACTTTAATGAAAATTATTTTCATGAAAGGGATTTTTAGGCCCGATTCTAAAAAAGGCATATATATTATGTCTTTATGTGTTTGTTTGTGTATGTGACTCCAGCTTTTAAATGGGTCGACGAATTGTGATGCTGTCTTTTTATTTGAAAAGCCGTTTCCATGCGGTGGTTCTTAGGTATGCTGGGTTTATAACCTAGCCTTAAAAGAGTATCACCTTTTCTCCTTATATGATGTCAGGCATTTTGACCTATAAATTCTCTATAAAGTACGTTACGCGTGTCTGTATCTTGTTTAAATGAAAAACATCAGCGTTCCATATAAAAGAATTGAACTAAATATAAATTTGTAATGACCATTGATCCATATATCGTTGTCAGATTCATAAAAATTATTCACTTATTCCAAAATGCATTTGAACTTATAATAATAATAAAAAATTATCAAATCTAAGAAACTGTTTTTAAGACAATTAATTAATAAAAATATATATTTTAGTTTTTTAAAGAAATTAATATGCATATAACGTTAATTATAGATAGTGTGAGATCTCGATCAGTTTCATTAGCAAACCGAATTAGATTTGATAAGGACTGATAGCGTTGATGTAGTTCAGTCGGCAGGAGACGAAGCCGGCAGCGACACGCGGCATATCGCAACTACTAGTTATATGAGAAGTGATGCCGAGGGACGGACGAACTGTAAGTTACCGTTATTAATTATAATATATATAATAATATAAATAAAATTTAATCTACGTACTAATTTTCATTTAGAACATTTGGTAAGATATATACATTTTTTGTTTAAGCAACTAAACATTTCGTTTTTAGAGTTGAAACTAATTTAACGTTAAAAAACTAGCATCATTTTATGGCACTTTCGAAAATATAAATATGTAAATAATTTTAATGAAACAACTCAACGTTTGGAATTAAAAAAATATATTTTCACCGGCAGCATATATTCTATAAAGTTACTAGCTCATTGAAATAATATATTTATTAAACAATACACTATAAAATTGTTTATATTAAAAATACCGAAACTGAAACGATATTAAACTTATTCAAGCGTTTTCTTATTTAATATATATTTATAATTTGTATATATTTACTATAAGTCCGTATTGAGATTTCTAATGTAACCTTAGTATGGAAGGATCACAATAAGTTGAGAAAGTACTTATTCGTATACCATTATCTATTGTCGACGTTTCATTATATCACTGCAGCCTTTTATTTCAGACGAGTCTCGTTGAATATTAACTTCTTATTTTCTCTTCGTGAACAGTAGCTAAATGACCAACTGAACACCTCTCGGTTTGTAATTAAACATCATTAGCGACTCACTCATTATGTAAATGATGGTTTTAATGCTGATGTTTAATGTGACCCAAATATGTATGATGTGTTATTTCTTAAGAAGAGCGTGAAGCATCCGAACAAACGTTGGAATGGAAACTTAAGTACAATTTATATCTTGCAGCAAGATGTTTTGATTTAATTTCAAATTATCAAATTGTTTAACATTCAAGGGGCAATAAAATGATGAAACTGTTATTTGAATATAGCCTTGATGAAATTCGGTATAGGCATATCAGGATACATTTTAATAATTAAATAAATTAGCAATAACACTAACTTTCTGATATACTTTCTCGTGAAGATCTTTTTAATAGCTTCTACCTAATTAATTTTCTTAAATATTCAGATAATATTTTAAAACTCATTAAAATTTCGTTTCTAGGGTATTCCGTATATTTCATAGTTAATTCCTAAAAATTAAACTAAAATGTTTATTTGTAGGAAATACAA